GCCCAATAAACCCCCCCCCCCCCCCGGTGAATCTCTAATACAGGAGACTTACCAGACTATGACTTCATCATAAATAAACTGCAACAGAAAAGAAAAGCACAGCAAACATTACTATTCAGATACATTCAAGTCCCATTACATACCGCATAAGACATAATACATCATCTTTAACATAAAGAGAACCTGTCATTGTGTCATTTTAGCTCATCATAAAAAAAAAAGGGAAAACGAAATTCTGAGAACAACGATCACTAAATACAACGTATTAAAGCCTTAAAGGAGAACTATGAGGGAGGGGGTGCTTTTCACTCACCTCATAGTTCTAGCCGACCTGTGACAATGAGACTGTCACAGGTCGGCTCAGTAGATCGGGAGGTGAGGGAACACATACCGTCGTTCGCTCACCTCTCGATCCTGTCACGGCTCTCTGCTGGATTCCCCCCTCCCCGTTCCGATCAGCCAGAGCTGACTGGCGGAACGGACGGGGGAGAGGGCGGGGGCAGGGAGGGGGCGGGTACAGCTGGCTCTGTCTCTAGATAGGCAGAGCCAGCTGTCAGTCACGCAGCTGGGTGGATCCCGGCACAATTGTCGGGATCCGCTTCAGCTGTGGCGTCTCAGCATACCGCGAGCAGTATACTGAGCTTAGGGTGAAAGGAGGACGCTAGTTTGTGTCCTCCCGTTACCCTAAGGAGAACTACGGGGAAAAGCCTTAACCCCATAGTTCTCCTTTAAGGTTCTTTACTATTCCCAGCCAGTACCTGACACCCTCATACAGCGTGCGTAGGGTCGGGCAGACCAGCTCAGCAGAATGTGGAAAGCTGAGCTCTGTGTTCTCTGCCATGACATGGCTCGGGGGGAAGGAGAAGCCGCATACAGGAACAATAATAATTGGAATATCTGCGGCAGACAGAGGACCTGCGGTCAGCAAACTCGATGAGTCATCTCTTTTCATAAAGCGTCCTTCTTATTTCTCGTATTGTGTGTTTGTTTTTTTTCCAACTTCAGATACAAAACATTCCAAAATGGAACCTGTCATAGAACAAACGAACCCCACAAACAAGAAGCAAGGCTGCAGTGATCCGAGTCTCAGGTCTTATCTGGGGCAGTAAAACTGAATTCATTTCAGCTTTGCTCCTGGAACTAGTGAGTGGCCTGGGAAATCGGGAATGGCAGCTTCCGTCGGTGGCTTCTCAATCAGGTTGCGTGTTTCGTAACTGTACTCGCCTGATGGAGCTTCTCCTCCATGCATGCTGTGACTCATCCCTTATTGAGAAGACATAAAATGATTCTGATTTATGTAGGTAACGGGTTTTATTTATTCATGAAAATCTGCTGCGGGAAATACAGAGAGAGAGCGCGGAACACGCTGCATGAGACACGTCCTGAATCCAGGAGAACATTCCCTACATAGAATGTAATTACTGAGGGGCCCCTTCACCCCACAGCATCATCATCATCATCCTCAGCAGAATGGGGTGCGCTGGATGAGAAGTGAAAAGGGAATGTGGTAAAGGGAATGTGGTGAAGGGAATGTGGTGAAGGGGATGTGAAGGGAATGTGGTGAAGGGGATGTGAAGGGAATGTGGTGATGGGAATGTGGTAAAGGGAATGTGAAGGGAATGTAAAGGGAATATGAAGGGAATGTAAAGGGAATATGAAGGGAATGTAAAGGGAATGTGGTAAAGGGAATGTGGTGAAGGGAATGTGGTGAAGGGGATGTGAAGGGAATGTGGAGAAGGGGATGTGAAGGGAATGTGGTGATGGGAATGTGGTAAAGCGAATGTGGGAAAGGGAATGTGAAGGGAATGTAAAGGGAATATGAAGGGAATGTGGTAAAGGGAATGTGGTAAAGGGAATGTGGTGAAGGGAATGTGGTGAAGGGGATGTGAAGGGAATGTGGAGAAGGGGATGTGAAGGGAATGTGGTGAAGGGGATGTGAAGGGAATGTGGTAAAGGGGATGTGAAGGGAATGTGGTGATGGGAATGTGGTAAAGCGAATGTGAAGGGAATGTAAAGGCAATATGAAGGGAATGTAAAGGGAATATGAAGGGAATGTGGTAAAGGGAATGTGATGAAGGGAATGTGGTGAAGGGAATGTGGTAAAGGGAATGTGGTAAAGGGAATGTGATGAAGGGAATGTGATGAAGGGAATGTGGTAAGGGGAATGTGGTAAAGGGAATGTGATGAAGGGAATGTGGTAAAGGGAATGTGGTAAAGGGAATGTGAAGGGAATATGAAGGGAATGTGAAGGGAATGTAAAGGGAATATGAAGGGAATGTAAAGGGAATGTGGTGAAGGGGATGTAAAGGGAATGTGAAGGGAATGTGGTAAAGGGAATGTGAAGGGAATATAAAGGGAATGTGGTAAAGGGAATGTGAAGGGAATATAAAGGGAATGTGGTAAAGGGAATGTGAAGGGAATATAAAGGGAATGTGATGAAGGGAATGCGGTGAAGGGAATGTGAAGGGAATATGAAGGGAATGTGGTGAAGGGAATGTGGTGAAGGCAATGTGAAGGGAATGTTGCTTTATTGTGCACAGAATGCATTATAACCACACAGCTGAAAATAAAAGGGGTCAGATTAGTTACTGCGGGGCCCGCTGAGCACAGGGGCCCAGGGACAGGTGTGATGTCAGCTGAAACGGCCTTACTTACTATAATTAGCGCTATTATTGCTAGGATGTAGTACATGGAGTCACGGAATAAAGACCACCACGTCAAGTGGACAACCTGAGAAAGCAGAAAGAGTGGCGGAAGAGGGAGGGAGGGGAAGTGATGGAGAGTGTGGGGGTAGAGGGGTAAAGAGTGTGGGGGGGTGTGGAGAGAGACATGGGATGAAGATAGATTGGGAGGGGATAGGGAGAGACATGGAGGGGTGAGGAGAGGAGAGCAAAAATATTGGGAGAGGGAAAAAAGGGAGAGAATGGGGAAAAGAGGGGAGAAAGAGGGGGCAGATTG